CCTTCATATGTATCTTGTTTTTTTGTTTGTTTTGCTGCTTACTGAAAGACTTACTACATACTGGTTGTGCTAGCTCCACTGGAGATCATAGGATTATGCCACTGTTGATTCTTAAATGTAATTGAATACAATGTATGCTTGTTCCTATTGGTGGACAACTCAGTAATAACAGGTACGGAAGCAAGTATTGCAATAGTAAGAACAAAGTCTGAGAAGCCAGGAACATTGCCAAGGTATCCTAGCTTCACATATGATACACACATCTTTCAAATAACAGAACAATAGCCAGAGGTTTCAGTAATGGCTCTCCAGTGTTGATTGGCTGCTTGCTATATGTGACGTAATTGTGAATTACAATATATTATGATTCAGTCTTGTGAAGTTACTCAGTCTTAGTAACAGAACGGTATATTTTCAAGCATTTTAACAATCTACTTAAGGTCCACAGAAAACATTTTTAAGCCAAATTTGTACGGTGAATGAAGGGTTTGGGGAATTCTTAAACAAAGAATGATTTCTTCCAGATCAAAGAAGGACCTCACCAGCCCTGGGAGTGCAAAGCCCTACGGCAAATCGTATTTACAACATCCTATGAATATATTGCAACTATTGTGCTATAGCAGACTCCATTTTTCAAATGAGACTAAAACTGTACTTTATCACCAGTTATGATAATTAAAGATCTCATTATATTTTTTTGCAATAATTGGAACAGCTGCTATGGCCTTCTGACCAAAATCCAGTCAAGAGTATTCAATTATCTGATATCTGCTTAATATTTTATTCAATTTGGTTAGCTGGATACAATATTGACTTTCTGACCTACATACTCAGCTATAGTGAAGAAGTTCTCAGCACAGTTCAAGAAGGAAATAGAGATAAAGCCTACGCTTTCTCTGATTTTGTACTTAGGCAGTGTGTGAAAGGTTTTCTCAAGAACTGCAAGTTTGCTGGAGATTGTACATCAAAATAATTCTGATTCATGCTCACTTTTCACAGTTATGCCCTCCTCAAAACAAATCTTGTCTTCAGCATACCATTCTTTCTGTGGCTAACAGTGCTATCTTTATGGCCCAAATGTCACAGAAATACCCTACAAATCTACCTACTACCTTATTGTACCTAATGATCCAGACTCTTTTCTTCTACAATATTAGAAATCTAAACAAGAAGAGACTACAGTTCAGGGGCAGACAGTATGTACAAGTTTTATTCTAAAAGACTGAAGTTTGTGGAGGGCATCTCAAATCCGTAAACATTTCAGAAGTGCAAGCTCCCCCTTAATAAACAGGCAGGAACAGGAAATGTCAGAAGAATACACTGAAATGGGAACTATGCTTGTGGCAAAGATAGGGGTTCTATGCGGAGAAAGACAAAAAGAAAAATGGAATTGAAAAATGCAATTATTAATCTTCCTTCTTCTGCTAAAAGGAGCAGACATTTCAAGCCAAAATTGAGAACTTGCTTGACAAAAAGCAGAAAAGAGGCATAAGATTGGATGGTGCACGCTAGCTAAATGGGGTATCGTCATTTCTTCTCACGCCACACCTAGGCTGCCCTCTCAGATGTTGGTGCTACATACGAGGCAAGTACAGAGTGATTTGGTTCATGGTTTAAAATATTGCTGATACGAAAATTTATCCTTTATTTCTCTATTAGAAGGAAAGGAATGTAAGATTGAAGGAATGTTCATGATTGAGTGATTTCTACGTCTTCTACTGCCTGTAGCTTCTGTTTATATACTTCGGTTCTCTTTTCCGCTTCTCTCTTCCCTTTCACCCATTTTCATGGTTTGTTTATCACCTAGTATCTTTCACAAGACTAATGTGGCATGGATCTATCTACCTTTCAAGCCTCCTCTTCTTATCTCCCTGTACTTGGATGCTCTCCATGCTAATTAATATTGAGGATAGGAAGGCTTTCTTCTTGAGCCTAGGCTTGTGCTTTACCACTCCACCTTCCAAATGGGAGTTGTTTATTAACTAAAAGGAGCAGACATTTCAAGCCAAAATTAAGAACTTGCTTGTCAAACAGCAGAAAAGAGGCATAAGACTGGACAGGGCATCTAGCTAAATAGGGTATTGCCATTTTCTCTCACTTGACACTGAGGCAGCCCTCCCAGATGTTGGTGTTACATACCAGGCAAGTACAGAGTGATTTCTTTTGGCTGTGGAGTAGGATTCTTCCAGAGGCTTTGTGGCACAGAATATGAAATATGAGTTATTTGATGCAGAAATAAACTATATGGCTTAAGTTTCTAATCTGATATGAAATCATTTCCTGTAACACTTGAATATACATCTTTATAAACTTCTATAGCCATAGGGTTCGAACAACATATATAAACTTCAGGTTTAGGGTCTGACAAGACTTCTGATGATGTTAGAGTGATCTTAGGAAATGAAACACATCTAATTGAAATCAGTAGGAGCTGGCCCATTGACTTCCAATAAACTCTAAATAAGAATCCTCCTTAGCTACTGAAGAAGCCTTGAAGAACTGAAACAATGCTGACACCAAATGTTTAATAATTATATGCTCCTCTCAGGCTGCTTTTAATTTTGTATTTCAATAGCACAGAACAGCTCCAAGCACTCTGTACTAGGATCTGTATACACAGAGCTAAGGTGTTAGACTGAAATAGTTTAGGGACAAAGTACAAGCTGAAAGACAAAAGAATATAGAGATTGGAACTGCAAACAGTAATATTATTGACAGACTATGATATGTTGGATAAATGACAGTGGATAGTAAGTCAGCTTCCTCCAGTAAAACAGCACACAGACTCTTCAGTAGACGTCAGGCACCACAGATGTGCTAAGTTTTAGAGAGGTCAGTATGGAGGAAAATAATTCAACCGTGGGGCTGAACCTGGCACAGCACATCCTCCTCCACGGGCTTCCGGCAGCTACTTTAGTTTTGTTGCAGTCTACTTTTGCATGGGACTCAGCCTTCCAACTATGTCTACACCAGTATAAACCTTACAAGTAGTACCTATTAAGAGGCTCACACCGCAACATCAGGATCCTGGTGAAGGCTGTAGGCCTTTTCTTTTCCCTCCCAAAAGCCAGAGAAGATTAAAAAGTAAGTAGAAGCTGCACACAACATGCTCCTTTTGTTTTAACTCTTCTGTTTCCTAGTTTAGTATCCTCTCTTAGGATAGCCTGCCACCACTGTGTAGCTGCTTACAATCTTTAACGTACTTCTTATAGGTATTCAAAAATGAAATGTCCACCACTTAATCCAAAGTTAAGACAGGGCTTACAATCCCATAGCTGAGTATGATTCATCAGCCCTCACAAAATAAAAGACTGTGTGGCCCTCCTATGAACTTGAAAGGTACAACTCTGAAATGATAAATAACAGTGCCTCAGGCAGCAAGGAGAAGGAGAGGCAGGGTGTTTCTTTCATCGTACTCAGGCATTGCTAATAACAAAGAAAAACTATTCCTTAAATAAAATCCAAGAAACTGTAAAGCCAACTTCTCAACTGCATGGTAAGCCTTTTTCTCGTGGCTTTCAGTTGAGCTGGCAGACAGTATCAATTTTTGCTTTCTGAGAAAGGAATGCTCTCAGTCCTGCTTCATAAGCATGTGTCTGTGAGATAAAATTTCAGTATTATCTGTATTAAAAAGGACTTGTTATCAATTTAAGTCGCCTTTCAAGAGGCAAAGGACTTTCTTTTACTATCAACTTATCTTTGGTTCTTATTCTCTACACCACCCGTCAGAGAAGCTTCACTGGTATTGTCAACAAATGTGAGCTTCAGTATATAGCCAAACTAAAGAAGTGTCTGAACTAATGATACATGGGATGGAATAGATCAAATATGCATTGTCTTCTCATAACCTGAAATTTCCCAAAGTCATCACTGTACAAAGTTATGACGTCATCTGAAACTCTCAACCAAGGACCACTTGTGATTCAGATCTTTAAGAGTTTGTTTTCAGTAGAGAATAATTTCTATGTTCTGTAATATTCGCCAGAGTTATACCAGAAGACTGTGCTGCCATTCAGAAGAATCTGGACAGGCTGGGGAGCTGGGCAGAGAGGAACCTCCTGAAGGCCCCTTCCAACCTAAACGATTCTGTGATTCTGTGATTTAGCTCTATGAACACAAGACTAAGAGGCTTACGCACCCAACTGGTTCATACATTGTCCACTTGGAGGGCATTTCTGTTACTGTTAGTCACAGAGGGCACTTTGGGGGCCTAGCTCTCAAAGCATTCAAGAAGCATTTCCATTGTTTGGAGAGTGTCAGAAGAACACAAGCCAGCCAAAAATGGATCATCTTCTGCAATAAGACAGAAGCATCTACCATAAAACACAACGCATAGGCCACAGCCTGACTGCTGACATTACCTCCACTGTGGATCATAAATTCAGCTAGGAATGACTGTCCCCGCTATTTTGGGGTACGCCCCATTCCTGTATTCTTAGTCAGCAAGAATCTCCTCTCCCTTCCTGAATCTCACTGCAGTCCTAGGTTTTAGGAGAAACCGAACTGTAGTCCACTGCAAAGGACTCATAGGGCCCTGGTAGAGAATATTTTGCTTGTATTTTGCATATGAAGAACAAAATAAAACTTCACAGAAGCCAACACTAAAAATATGGAGCCTACCTTAATACATGGAAAGCTCTGGCAAGTGACAGTGCCTTAGGAGGCAGTGCTCTGTCTCAGGTCTGAGGGATACCTCATTCCCACCCTGTCTTGTCCCCATACAAATCCTACAAGTTTGCCCAGTTAGGGCTAGCTGTAACCAAGAAGCCCCACTGCAAAGTAGAGTTCTGTAACCCCTTCTAATCAGTAAGGGATTTGCAGCTATAGTGCTGTGTCAAACCGCTGAACATGAAATGCACGATAACAATATTTTGAGGAAGCTCCCCACCTACCCACCCACCCACACGCACACACCTTTTCTCTTTTTTTCACGTCAGTGGGAATGACTCATCACAGTGTAGTGCTGAAACTCCAGAAGCTGTATTTGAATTATGGTGACCTTTGCGGACAGTAAATATCTTCCATTTCTCATGAGGAAAACAAAAACACAAGCCCGCGCGCTCCATGTGGAGTATGACTTGATTCTTTTCATCTAGGGTTAGAATTGTATATGTTTATTCGGTGTAGCAATGGTGATACATAGCAGGGGGCTGTAAGTATATTTTAGAGGGCAGAGGACTAATAACAAAAAGCAAAGTTTGCCAATGTCATCTTACAGCTGCACTACTGGTTCACAATAGTATTTACTGTTATTCTCACATTATGTGTTAGGGAATAATACTTCAGACTATTTAAGCTACCAGTTGTCAATTTGAAATATCCTCGAACTAAAAATACTTCACAGGAGATGAAACATTGATTTTGCCCAGTTTTGGGGGAAGAATTATCCACCCTCAAAATCTACCAATGCAACTAATTCAGTTAATCTAATTAAATTACCTAAATCTCTCAGTTATACACACAGGTAAGACTTGTCAGGAAGGGACAGTCTACAACTATAGCCACACATAGAGGGGGCCTCTGTCCATGGTGCCAACTGAGGCAGTTCCTTGTTCGCTGTCAGGTGAGTGGCACAGTAGAAGATCAGAAAGGATGAATCCTTAGCAGTGCAGTATCTGAGGAATCTGAAAGATACAATATGTCTCTTTAATTTTCTGAAAGAACCTAAGCATAACCAAATTACAGTCATCCACTCTTTTTCTAAAACAAAGGTGTTAAAATACTATTCATGTAACTCCGTATGTGGAGAAAATGGCTTTGGTCCAAAAAGCATATAGTATAGACAGATAACAGAAAAGACAAAAACAGCAGCAGGCATGCAAGAGTAGTAAAATGACACAGCAGTGATACTGAGCTTGTGTCTTTACCAGTTTTCTTCCCATATATTCTTCATTTTTTGCCCTTGTGCATTAGCTGCCATGTAACTAAAGGAAATAATAAGCTAAATGCATGAGCATTAAATGAGAACAAAATACAGCTCAACAACCTCAAAAGCCACTTCTCTGCATAAAATAAAACTCAACCTAGCAGAAGCTGTACCTTTTAAACTAACCTTTCCTAAAAAATACTTATTTAAATTAAACTCAGGTAAAATGGAAACACAATAAAAGTCCTTTAAATAGCAAGCCCATTTGTGGAGGTGCCATCCCTTTATTTGCTGTGAAAGAAAACAGGTCCTTAGAAACTGCATTATAGCTCCATCTGTAGGAAGCATGTACATAAATAATTTTGTGAGTCAGCAACTATATACCTGGATCTCAGTTCAGGCAGTTCTTGCATCCTGTTTTTGAAAGCCTAGAGTTCACACATTAGGTCTCTACTCATAGCTCCCTCTCATTCTACGACTCCTTCCTGAAGTCAGAAGGAAAAATGGAAAAGGGGAGGCAAGAAAGAAATAAAAGTGAGGTCATAATCTATGCCTTCATCCTAGCTAAATTAACTGTTTTATATTACTCAGAGGAACATTCTAAACTAAAAAAAGCCTTTACTACAATACGGGATTGTGATAGAACTGGAACATTTTTCAAAGCTGAATCCCTTCCTTGTGCCTTTTTCTTTGTCATCTCCAATTTTAAGGCACAGTATTAAAATAGTAGCCAATGATGATTGTTCAGTTAGAATAAATGTTTTTTCTCAGGAACAAATAGCGGTTCTGCAGGAACTAATTCTTGTGGAACTCGCCACACTGACAACCGTTTTCACAGTGCCTAAATGCCTGTGCCTTCACTCACGCTATGAGGCCACAGCTATAATGCATCTGAAGTAAATATATAGCAATATCAATAAATTACATAGGTGTTAGCACGCTCACCTAGAAGTTTCAGCTATGATCAGATACTAAATTATCCAAGCTACCTTTAAACTGTCTTGCTTGTGTGCAATTATCAGTTTCATTTCAAGGAAATACAGCACAACACAGGCTGTAAAACCTACATACAAAAATAAAAAAACCCACCCTGGCTAAGCTCATTTCTGCTGTGGCTAAACTGCAGCTTGATATCCAAATAAGCTAGTTTAAAGCTACATCAGTGTAAACAAGCTGAAGGACAGGTTTTCTGGTATAACTACTTTAATACAGCTACACTTCTGAATTCTTCTGATAAAGATACTTAACTGATAAAGACTTACACTGGCAAGAAAGTACTTTTTTGGAATAACTTATCATATTTACCTCAATAAATCAGCAGTTTGCTGGTATAAACAGGTTTCAGATATCATACTACTTACACTACAATACTGAGATCAGACATTTTTGTCAGATGAAACTGCCTTTGTCAAATGACAGCAGTTGGTTTCAACCATGTATTTTCATTGAAAGAAATATGCAAATTTATATACTCCATTTTCTTATCCTAGAGGTACATGCTTTCCAAATTAAAGAGTTCAGAGAGAATGGCTGAGCAATACAATCTTCTCTGGTTATATTATGCAAATGGAGATAACCACATTAGCTGACTTAGAAGAATGACTTCTGTGTTTATATAAAATTATTTTTAAACGGTTCTGGCATGAATGGTGCTGTTTCATTGCATGCCTACATATTTTTGTACCTTTGCATCTAATTCTGTTTGTGGTCCTTTGATTTTGGTGTGGAACTCAAAAATTTTTAGTAGAGAACAACATGCTACAAGTAAAAGTTGGTCTTAGAATTTGAGTGTAGCAGTGAGAATCTAGAGTTTAGATCTAAGGATTTTTTATTTCTAGTTGCTGTAAGTCTTCCTTTTTCTTGGGGGCAAATCTTTCACTCAACCACCTTTTATTTGGTTGCCTAGCTGTAAAATGGTTTACTACTCTCAATATATGTTAAGATATGTTATTGACTAGGTTTCAGAGATTCTACGACAGAAGATATTGTCACTATTAAATAACACATTTGAAGAAAATTAATTAACAACATCATGCAGTTTATAGTGTATTTGTTTTCCAATTATAGGTTTATCCCATTACCTATTTCTAGTATGTTCCAAATTTTGTAATATAACAAAGCAGAGGATTGGCTAATCATATAGTTGTTTCTGTAATACATGCAGCTCGTTCAATATTTGTGAGGTATAGTATCTGACAACAATTTCAAAATTCCTCTAGTGGGCGTTGGTCGCGGTTGGCTATGTTTGCTCCTGGCGAGAACTTAAAGGCGTAAGCTCTGTTTGCATTGTTATGGCAATGCGGACAGCACATTAGCATGAACCCTGATTCCTGAGAATGATGTAAACTAGATTTACCCTGCAGGAAATTCCCTCTAGTGAATAAGATGAAAATAATTCTTTTCTCAAAAATATTCACTCTTAGTCATGGAAAAAGTAGGACCAAAGTGCTAAATATGATGTATGAATCAAAGTACAGGCCCAGAGATTTTGGCTGATTTCTCTAGATCAGGACTTTCAAAGGACCTCTGATCATAATGAATTCTGGTTGTTCCAGTGAGAGCTGTGTGGCAGCTGATAAAATGAATTCAGTCATATGCACTCTGCTTGCATTTCATGTCTTATCCTTTATTTTGCACCATAGGTATTATAATCTTCCATTTGGCTTTGCAAAGTAACAAGATGTGATGGTAGCACCTACGAGACTCCCCTAATAATCTTCAAATCTTCTGGCCAATTTCAAAACTAAAGGGGTGACAGAATAACTGAATTTTAGGTAAGATTAGGTCATAAGTTAGGTGGTCATATAGTTCAACTTCTTGCTGAAAACCTGCCTAACTTCACGTTACATTACATTGCTCAGACTTTGTCAAGTTCTACAAATCTCTGAAGACAGATTTTCTGTCTCCTAAAAAATATCTATGATAATTGCATGCCTACAAATTCAACGAAATCTTCCATCTGGGTAGAGAGGCCAATACAAATGCCATTGTCCAAGGAAAGGCAAATGGGAGACAGCTATAACACATTTTGCTTGGCTGCTACAAGTTAGCTGGTGGGCTGATATCTGAGATTATTACAGCCTGTGGAAGGACTGGCAAGAAAGAGCCTTGTGAACAGTATAAAGGAAAAAATAAAAGCTTTGTTAGGTCTCCTGTTTCCAGAATAGTTTGGGTTTTTTAAATGCTAAAATTAATAAACACAAGATGGTAAGCAAAAGCTTAATTTTTCATTACTTTTTCACTCACGAAATCGAGTTCCACTTCATGAAGAGCATTTTCAGAGTAGAGATCTAGGAAGTATATATACCTAATTGGCCCAGATTAAGAAATGTTAATTGTACACCTCTTTCAAGTAAATGTAAACCATCTAGATTGATTTTAACTACAATTCAGTTTATTTTTGAAGGTCAAATCAGATGGGTAGGGCTTTGATTGTTATGAATTTAGTGCCTAGTCCTGCAATTCTCACAAGTCCATCACTGTGTTTGCTGCTGCAGCAGAGAAACACTTCAGAGTAAAAAACCATAAATTGCTTCAGAACAGACTTCAGCTTCCTTGATTAGGCTGTAACACATAGAGTTCTGTGCATTGATACTGATGGGGACTAGTAACATACACTCAGCTTAGATTCTTCTAAGCCTAGCTAAGCTTAGATTTATAAACTAGTCTAAGGATCACTTGACAGCACCATATGCAAGACTCCAGCGCTCTATTACAAGTTCAATTTAAATTCTTACAAAAATTCTGTGACCTCTCCAGATAATTTTAGGTGTTACTAAATTTAATGTAAGAACATTATCTTTCTAATTTCAATATGATACACTACTCAGTTACATTTTAATGTCTACATATTTGTCCATAAGTGCATTCCTACTGATAAACAAATGCATTAGAGATGTCACCACAGAGATAGAAGAGATACAACTGAGGCATTTGAGAAGACACAGAAATTCCTGAAATTTTTAGGAAAGTATTAGATTATTGTTAAGATCAGTTAAAAAAAAAAAACTCACAGTGGGCACTGTTAATATAGAAATTTTTGATTATATATTTTTCATGATGGTCTGCAAAAGTCCACAGCATATCTATTCCATGTGCTGGCAAACTTTAAGGAAGAGACAGAGAATGAATCTTTTCTCTCTTAATGATTTTCATCAGAAATAAAAATATCGTGACTGCAATGTATCCTTATTATAGCTTTGAGACTGTTAAATTGTGGACCTCTCTGAATGTCCCATTACAGTAAGAAAACATATGCAAGTTTTTTGAAAAGGCAGCTGGCATGCCAGTTGCCCAGGAAAGGATGACAAAAATCTTTCTAATGTAGTTTTACATGCACAAACCATTGCACTCTATCAAACACATCAATAAAAAACCCTTAAATGAGTTGATATAATTTGGTACACTACATGAGAGGTATTAACATAGCTAAAGTAAAGACCTTTCCAAAACAAGAGCTTAAACAAAATTCATTTTCAGTTTGATATTGATACTTTGCCTTTGAGTACTAAAGAAAAATAGCTTAACATGATATAAATAAATCTCAATATAGCGTTAAAGGTTACACTTGAGCCACTCCAAGAAATAAGCTATACGATGCATGGTAACTATGGTTTCTGCATAACAGCAATATTTAGCAATCCAGCACTATACGTTTTTGAAAAGGAGAGTGACATCAAAACCGCTAAGCATTTCAGGGATTCAGTAATAATAGACTGATTTTGTATTCTTATTTCAGATGTGGAGGTTTGTTTAACC